GAAAGAAGGAACCAGTTCGAAGCAGTTTGGCTTCAGATGGGCTGGTTTGACGAATCTGGTCGCAAAGAAGGAACCAGTTCGAAACAGTTTGGCTCCGGATGGTCTGGTTCGATGAATCTGGTCAGAAAGAAGGAACCAGTTCGAAGCAGTTTGGCTCCAGATCGTCTGGTTTGACGAATCTGGTTTAAAGCGTCTGGTCTGAAGTGCTCCATGGGTTGAAAGCAAGAACCTGGTCGAAAAGAAGGAACCGGTACAAAGCAGTTTGGCTCCAGAGGGTCTGGTTTAAGGAATCTGGTCGCAAAGAGTCTGGTCTGGAATGCTCCCGTTGCCTTAAAGCAATCTGGGAGAGCCAACTGTTTTGGCCAAAGAAGCAATTGTTTTGACTCAGTGGCAATGAACCTTTATGAGTGATATGAGAGGGGGGCCATTGCCGTTGAATGCACTGTCAATTTTCAACTTTGCCCCTACTCGTGACCTCACAGGGGGGAAATTGACAGGAATTGGTCGGAAAGTTTTGGTTGATTCAGCCTTTTGGTCTCTCTCTCTCTCTCTCTCTCTCTCTCTCTCTCTCTGTCTCTCTCTCTGTCTGTCTCTGTCTCTCTATGTCTCTCTGTGTGGGGCCACCAACAACTTATGTTTGATTTTGTTGGCTGCCGGGGCTTGGTACGTAGTTGCTTGCTTTTCGAGAAATGTTTTGTTGGGTTTTGCTTTGTTTGTGTCGTTGATAACTCGATATGTTGTATGCAGTTTTGCTGATTTGCGGTTGCGATTGCTTTTGGTGCTGTTGCAGTGTGGGATGTACAGGGTTGAATTTTTATTTTTATTTTTATTTTTATCTTTTGCCCGTTCGTGAGTTCCTTTGCGAACAACCTGTGTGTGTGTGTGTGTGTGTGTGTGTGTGTGTGTGTGTGTGTGTTTTAATTGGCTGCTAGGACTCATACATGATTGCTGTTCTTGAAATGTTTGGTTGGGTTTTGCTTTTCTTTTTTTTTTCTTTTTTCCCTCCTGTTTAAAAAAAAAAGGGTTGACAGCCTTGAGATATCACCATAGAACTGACACACACACACAGATTTTGAGCCCGGGGTAATTCAGAATTAGTTTATGTCATTCATCTGGATTTGAACGTGAATCTTTACTACAACAGGAAATGGGTATAGCAACCGAGCTAGGCCTTTTTTGCTGATTTGCTGATCCGACTGTTTTTGGTTTTGCGGCGTGGATTATGGGGGCCAGTGTTGGAAAGATTTTGCACCGGTATACATCAGGCAAAGTACCGAAGGCGTTCAAAATTATTCCTCACCTCTCCAATTGGGAAGAAATCCTTTATTTCACGCAACCAGAGAAGTGGTCGCCCAACGCCATGTATCAAGCCACTCGGTTGTTCGCCTCCAATCTAAATGCGAAAATGGCACAACGGTATGATTTTCGTCTCTGTGCATGCGGTGCCTTTTTTATCCCACCCTCCCGACTGTACAAGACCATATATACATAGTACGTACTGCATTGTTAGAATGTTGTATATGCACATGGTACGTACTATGTACCAAGTACACAATCACATATGTACTATGTAGCATGTAAATACAGAGACACCATTCTTATTCTTTAGCATGTTTTGTACGTATATACTTCGTACTATGTACTAAGTACATTTTTGATCAGTTAATTAAACAAAAGTCACTCAACTAAACAAAAAGTCTGTCAATCAAACAAAAAGTCTGTCAATCAAACAAAAAGTCAGTCGATTAAACAAAAAGTCAGTCGATTAAATAGGAAGTCAGTCGATCAAACAAGAAGTCAGTCAATTAAACAGAAAGTCAGTCAATTAAACAAAAAGTCAGTCAATTAAACAGAAAGGCTGAGAAAGCCAGTCAAAAAAAGAAAGAAAGAAGAAAAAAAAAAGGTGGAAGTGTCCTTTGGGACATCCGTTAAAATTGGAACGATACAGAGAAGGATGCGCAAGGATGACACACAAAAGAAGAGGTCAAAAAAAAAAAAAAAAAAACAGAAGCCCGTCAATTAAACAGAAGCCTGTCAATATCCTCCATTCTCAGTCTTGCAGATCATTCCAAAGAACATAAATAAATAAATAGAAATGGAAAAGAAAAAAAGAAAGTCAGTGTCCTTCCAACTGCTAGGTGTTCTCAAAGGGCTGAGAGAGCGTGAGACGCTTGGTCCGCAATCTGATGACTGCCAGAGGCCAACAACTACAGTACCTCTATTGAGCTTCTTCCTCGAATCTCGACAAGATTTTGAAATTTTGACTCTGTCCAGGTATTTACCAGATACAGTGGGCTGGGACCCGTGACTGGCTATCGTCAGTTGTGGGGTGGTGGTTGGTGCCCATCTGTAACTTTGAAATTTGTATTTTTGAAATTTGTATTTTTGAAATTTGTAAAATTTTGTATCTTTGAAATTTGTAATTTTGTATCTTTGAAATTTGTAATTTTGTATCTTTGAAATTTGTAATTTTGTATCTTTGAAATTTGATCTTTGAAATTTGTATCTTTGAAATTTGATCATTGAAAATTTGAGAATGTTTTTGAAGAAATGGAGCTTCAGACAGGAGCCAGGGAGGAGGTAAACAAAAAGGCGGGGTTCACACTGTGACTGCATCGCTGAACTACTGGCCATGGATGGCTTTGCTGTGGGGCATGTTTTTTTTTTTTTTTTGGTGTTGTTCCAGGTTTTACAACTTGGTCCTGCTTCCAAGAGTAAGGAATGATATCAACGAGAATAAAAGACTGCATTTCGCGTTGTATCAGGCTCTCAAGAAGGCAGTGTACAAGCCCGCAGCCTTTTACAAGGGCATTTTACTTCCTCTTTGCCAGGTAATCAAAATGTTTTGTTTTTTCAACTTTTTTGAAGTTTTCTTTTTCTTTTCCTTTTTTTCAAATGGTTCGGATCCGTAAGGGAGGATGCGTACGGCATTATATTGTGTTCCAGGCAGGCTCTCTGACCATTGTGGAGGTGGAAGAAAATACCTCCTCCTCCTCCTCCTGCTGCTGCTGCTGCTGCTGCTGCTGCTGCTACCGGAATCTAGGCAAACTCTGAAACCATGGTAAAGGTGGGAAAAATCTCCTCCTCGTCCTATTACCCTGCCCTGTCCTCCGCCTAAGCCTTGGTCGTCGCCTCCTTGTCTTCTTTCACCTCAATTTCCCCCTTTCCATCTTACTTCCCTCCTCCTCCTCCTCCTCCTCCTCCTCTCCCCATTGCCATCGTTGACATGTTGCTATACTCCTCTTCCCTTTTGTTGCCGTCTTTACTGTCATTGTGATTATCCTTGTTTCTTCCACCATCCTTGCTCTTCCTGTTTTGTGTTTTGTTGTTGTCACAGGTTTGCTGCTTTTCATAAGCAGAGTCTTTTTCCTCCCTCTTCTTCTTCTTTTTCCTTTTTTTAATTTTTAACCCTTTTTTTTTTTTTTTTTTTTTTTTTCCGGACCTTCTCTGGTCATTGCACGGGCTGGCCACCTGGGTAGCCTAGTTTAAAACAATAAAATTGAGATTTTATATTATTTTAAAATAATATCATAGGGTAAAACTTTGCATATATTCCTATAACCTTCAATTTTATAATAATAAAAAAAAAAATTACGAGTTAGTTTGCCTAAGTCTCTATAAGCATTATATCATCACTAAAAAAAAATATCCACATCATAAATAATAAACAAAAGCACAAATTATAATTTTATTACCTACCTGTAGGTGAAGTATATTATAGGTTGTATGTCTACATTGCAATCCATAATTTTGATGTTTATTTACAATAATGGAAATAACTTATTTGGTTTGCCTATCCTCGTTAATTGGTTAAAAAAAAAAAACAAATTATATCATTATCTTTGATAATAGTATGATAAAGAAAAATACTTGATTCATTTTGTAATGTCGGATGATTACAATACTTGTATAAATTACGTGTTTGTTTTGCATATATTACTTGTTTTTTGTTAAGTAATCGTAATTTTAGTTACAGATCAAGTTATCAAATGAGCGTAGAAGGGTGCATTAAGTATAGTGTGACATAAAAATCACAACATATGATAACATTTTCACCTCTCTTGATATCTTTTATTTTATATGGTTTACGTAGTACTAAAATTCGTTGTCATAAAAGTGCTTCAACCTTATAATCTATGCAAAGGACGTCATCACTATTGATGGAATTAAAAACTTTAACAATTGTCATCAACATTATGATACATTAATAGATTTGTTCAAGCCTTACACTGACATAAACATTTAGAGTTGGTGGTTGTTGAATTGGTGGTGGTGGCACAAAGCTGTGATTTGGCAAAGTGCGCATCTTGTTTAGAGACAAATGTTTGTCTATATGTGTGTGTATGTATTTGTTTGTTTATGTTTGTATATGTGTGCATTTTTTTTTTGTTTTTTTTTGTTTTGTGTGTGTGTGTGTGTGTGTGAGAGAGAGAGAGAGAGAGAGAGGAGGAGGGGGAGGGGGATGCTGGGGTTGTTCTCCCTCCTGGTTGCTTTTTACTTGGTTTATTGCCCATATTACTGCTGTTGTCATTGGCATTATGGTTGATGCCCGAAGCCCTACTTCTGAAGCTTCGAAATCACAAAAATGGACCTGGAGGGTCTGGAATTTTGCCAAGCTATATGCGAAGGGTCAGAATTAAAGCCTAGCGGGGTTCAGGCTCAGAGGGTCCCATTTTTCCCAAGTGCTCCAGAACGGGGAAGGAGCTCCTGCACATGGACGAGGCCCTGTCCGATTGGTCCCACAGCTCTGACATCTCCACAAATGGCCAGGCAGGGCATAGTCACACAGACAGCCTGGAATAGCGAAGGGGTTGGCTGGGACTACTGATCTATCCCTGTCATATATTGTGCTAGGCGGCGAAATTGTTTCTTTCGGGACGGAAAAGCGAAAGCGGATCCGGCCCGCCGACGTGGCTGCGATAGTGGGCTGCCAGCAGCTCGCTGTGCGCCACGTGTCTCTTGATCTTGATTGGCATCGGTGCCAGGAAAGCCACTTGGGGGGTCAAGTCCATTTCAGCGCCATTCTGGTTGATACATCGGAAAAAGGTACATCCAGTTGCCCATTCTCTCTTTCTCTGTGGGGAATCGCCCATCACAGAGCGTGCGTGTGTGTGTGTGTGTGTGCGTGTGTGCGTGTGTGTGCGTGTGTGCGTGTGTGTGTGTGTGTGTGTGTGTGTGTGTGTGTGTGTGTG